GTGATTGCTCCTCCTCAGAAGTAGCTCATTAGTTCATCTGAGGAGCTGTCATGTCATTAATAAAGCTAATCTGGAAACTTTCTTCTGGCTGTGGCCAGGAGACCGCAGACATCAAGGACTTCATGGGAGCAGTTTCCTCTTGTGACTGTCCGGGTGGAGTTTACTGGTTGACATGCACTTGTGAGGTGGTGTGCCTGAGGACAATTATAGCTATGGCATAGTGTTTTTGTGGACGATGGCTGGAAAACATGAGCAATGCATCACTTGGACATTGAGAAATGGGTGGTAGCACGGATGCATGTTTCTCCATGTGATTGAAGGGAAATCGTGGGTGTTCATAAGATCACTGGGAGCTCTGTCTGAACAGCTGGCTGAGAGGCTTCCCTTAGTTTACCTAACAGGTGACTGCATATTCATCATACATTCCCAGCGGTTGTCTGAGCTAGTATTTGCCTCTGTGAGCAGTAACCTACTAAACAGAGAAGAACAAATGAGAATAGGTCATAATACAAGTGTGAATTCATAACCCATGTTGATACACATACACTGTGTTGCCCAGTGTTTCCAAATGCATCTGTGCAGCCTATGCTATTGTTTCCCAGGCCATGTCTCATCTACAGATGTCATGCAGTTACCACACCCTGCCAGTGCTTCCACAAGAGGTACTTCCCTGCCATTAACCTTTTGCCAATGGTGGGTGGGACCAGAAGCTTTGCAAGAAAAGTTATAATGAGAAACTCTCTGGTAGAAGTTGTAGCATAGGGTATCCAAATGGCAGTGATATTAGTAAAGCCCCCTTGATTCACATCTGACCTGTTTTTATAATGTAAAAAAATGTTATTTGCTTTAAGGCTTTTTGTGTTTTTCTTTAGATTGTTTTCAAGGTAATTGGAAGACATTTGTCATGTTGTCATTTCAGCTGTGTCTCTTGATCACTATTGTGTCTTTTAGCAAACCAGGTCTAGGGGTGGCTATAAGGCAGCATAAAGCAGTAGGACTGATAATTTTGAGCATTAGAAGAAACTATTGGGAAGAAACACGTTATGTTTTTCAGTAAAGTGACATCTTTCTTTCCATCTTTCTGGCGTCTTTAATTTAAATCAGGAGATTGCTTACACTTGCTCAGAAAACACTGATGGAAGAAACATTTATTGCAAATGTTTTATCCTTTGTCTGGTTATAAGGAATGAGAACCTCTTTAGGTGCTAATATACTGGGGGGAAAAAAAAAAAAGAAAAAAAAAAGAAGAAACATTCCATTTAGGGAGGATTAGCAAGGTTAGTGCTGGGAATTTGGGATAGCTGAGCTATAAAAATCTCCATTTCTGTGAAGGGAATAGCAGCCAGCCTGTCCTGACTGTGTGCCAGAGAGCTAAGGGAAGAGGGTTCTGTGGCATCCTCAGAGCACAGGAGCCTTACAGCATACATGTGCAACGAGTTCAAATATGGTTGCATGCCCAGTGTCTGGTCAGGGAAACTGAGCCTAGTCTGTGTGACCCTGTTCTTGACAGCATGCTGACTCTGACGTGATGGGTCTGGGTCTGTCTGACCACTTCTGTATTTATTTTGCAGATATCCTTCCCCGTGCCCCCCCTTGATTTCCTCCTTAGTAGAGGGCTTTGGGTGTTTCCAGGATTACTGTGGGCATTAAAATATATTAGTAGAGTACAGAGATCTCCTTTTTTGTATGGCACTTTTCTTTCAACTCAGTTTCTTCTGTTGATTATGAAGAATCCCTTTGGGAAGCTGGCTTAGGGTGCAGGTGCTAGATGTGGTTGTAGTTGAAGTAATTTTCTTTTGTAGGAGAAATGTGATACTTCACGGTTTTCTTGATAAAATTCTGTGGGTTTGTGGGTTTGTGGTTGGTTTTTTTTTTTCTTCTCTGCAAGTATTTGGTAGCTTTGCAAGTTGTGGTAACTTTGTCAGTCTTTGATAAACTCCTCCTCTACAACAGGTAAATTTAGGACTTGTACAAAAATATAGCAAGGGTTTCCAATACACTGCTGAGCTGGACAAAGTAACTTCTGTGACTCCTGTCATGCTGATTGAAGAGCAGGTACACAAAGCTGGAGAATGCTTAGCTTTTCAGAGCTTGAATGTAGAGAGCTAGTCTACTATTTATGAGATCTCCCTCTTTTTGGCATCAGGAAACACTAGTCTCTTTCTAACATCTTTATTTTGTGAAAGAAGCAGGCTTCTGTCCTCCTGCTGCAATAGAAGGGCCAAAGCAACAGTGACTATTGAGGTGGGCAGTTTTTGTTTTTTTGGAGGGGCTGCTGGATCCTTGGACCCCATGTGAAATTAGGCTTGGTATTAGATGCCTCAGTAATTGGACAAGGTACCTAATTTTAGCCACTTCTCTGGCATGAAGGGTCAGTATCCTGCCCCATGTAGCACTGTTCCGCTGACAAACTTTATCCTGCAGAACTGATGATTTGGGGATACAAGCCAGTTGCTGTAATTGTTTGTAAATTAGCCCCCTTCTGCCAGGAGAGGATATGGAAGCTTTTCACAATGGTCCTACCTGCTGGACTGTAGAGTGTGCTATCAAAATTGCTTCACTGCCCCTTTGTCTTGTCTTTCCTGTACCGCACTGCAGTAGGTGCTTCTCAGCCAGAGCTGAGGACTAGACCTACAGTCTAAAGTCAGGTTTTAGCCTAGAATTAGACTTTTATTGTCTCTAATAACACTGGGCAATCGATTGCCTTTTCACATGTGTTTTTTGTCCAGGACAGGCATCAGAGCTACAGGAATAGTTCTGTGAGAGAGAATTAGTGGAGTTTTCCATGGGGAAGCACCTGTGAGCGAGTAAGCAGTTATCTTACCTCTTTACGTGCAAACCCTGTGGTTCTTGTATAAAAGACTCAAAACCTGATTCTGGCTTTGTTTACGCTAGTGTAAACTCTGCTGTCTCCTGGTGCTGGAGTATGTCACAAGCTGCAGTTTCAGCCCTGCTGTTTCTCAGGTTGATGACAAGCTCGTGTTTGGCTGCTGCTCGTGTGGGGTCAGTTTCATAATTTAAAATTCAACAGGCCCGTGATGTGTTCCAAAAATCCACTACTGCTCACTTTGCCAAGCAGTAAAATTAGAATTTATGAAGCAAACAGGCACGAGAAGTAAACAAGCTCAAGATTTTTGTAACCTAAATTATTATATAGGAGAGTGATCTGAACTACTATTGTATTGTTTGGGGTGCTGGGGTTGGTAGTAGCTGCAGACTGCAATGTCCATACAATGTCCTGCATGCTTGATAAAGTACAGAATAGATTTTAAATATAGGAAGTTCTTGACTATGTGACATTTTATTTCAGATAATGTGTTTAGAAAACAATTATACAGGTTATAAATATAACAGATTTTAAATCTACTTCCCAGTGGCCGTATGTGTGGTGCATTTGTTGCAGGGTGTTGGGTGGTGGTTTGGGGGGGGCGGGGGGAGAGTAGTTTGTTTTTTTTAGCGTAACACAATAAAGGGAGTTTTCAGTTGAGCAGCCATCTCCTTCTGCAGAGGAAGCTTGCAGGATGATGTTTACACTTGTTTTAGTCATCAGAGGTAAAGTGCACAATAATGGTAAGCCTATGTTTCTACAATTGGAGGATATTTCTCATAGAGAAGGAAGTCTCCAAGGTCAACAGCTACAATACCCGGAGAAGTTACATCACAAACCCACATCTGCACAAGACTGCTCTCTTCCCTGCCCCCACCACCCTTGTCTTTTTGTGCACGCACTCCCTCTCTCTCTCTCTCAGCTTAAGTGTTGCTCACATCACTTGCAAGAATACCATGGATTTGATTTGGGCTTCCGTTTACAGTGTTATTTAGTTGTTAAAAAAAGAAACCAAAAACAAACAACGCACCCCCACTCCCCAACCCAGAAAAACTCTAAATAATTGAAAAAGTCTCACTATAGTCTTCTAATATCCTGTACATTCCCAAACTCAGTTTGTCTAGCTACTGTTTTTGCAATGAGAATTACACTGTATTACGATGATGGCAGCAGCAGCACTTCCCAGATCTAGTCTGAGCTTGTGCATTTCTGAGTTATCTCCTGTCATGTGATAGTAGTGGGCATGGCAGCTCATGCCTCTGTGTTGAGCTGTATGTATGTGAAGAAGAAAGCTTTTGGCTGTTTTAGCAAAATTTGCATGAGGGAAAAGAGGGAAGGCTAGTTCTCAATAATTCCAGGTCACTTCGTATCTCTATTTACTATGCAAATTAGTGTTACTGGTACACGTAACACCCCTGATAAAAACCCCAAACTGAGAGAAATGTATTGTCTTTTCGTGTTTCTATACATGAAATTTCAGTGCAACGGCTATTTTATAATCCTTTTTGAAGCAGTATTTTTCACCAGTGTTTGCTTGGTTTAGCTTTAACAAATGGCTGTTAATCTAAATTCAGCTTTTTTTATAATGGCAAGAATGAGGACACTCCTTAGAAGCCTACCCGTCAATTTTATTTGTTTTCCAACCTCCTGATGAGGTTTGTTCTTATTCCATCAACAGGATAGCAAAGTGAGAGGGTGCTCTACATAATCCTTATTGCTGTAGACTTTATTCTATTTACACCCAAAACTCTGACTCAGTACTGCTGAAGTCACCCGAGTCTTTCCCTGGCTTCAGGTTGTTCTGAATCAGTCTATAAACCTAAAAGTCAAAGCTGCTTCTAACAAAGAAAACAGAACCTTTTTCCTTCAGTTCCTAACAGAACTTGTGTTGTGGTTTAAGCTGTGTTGTTCATGTCTAATCATGTTCACTGGTGATCATTCCAAGCATCATATATTAGAGTGAAATTACCTAGTATTCAATATTTCCTTGATTACATTTGGTTTGCCACAACAATTATTGCATTTAAAAGGGTGGTGGCGTTCTGCCATCCCTGTTCCCTCAGTCTACAATTTGTTATGGTAGCTATGAAGAGGTGTAAACATCATCCAGGTAGCTGGGTAACCCTGAGTATTTAAGGAGGTCAGAATAAAGACTGATCTTCTTTTAGGTGTGGACAGGTATGAGACAGGTTGGACTGCACTAGTGAAAGAAGGATTTGTAAAGCTGAGGACATGTGTTTTGGAAGCTGTGCTAGATGTATTGGTTATAAGTTGCTCATCCTTGCCTTGCTCAGCATCGTGGCCAACATTTTACTTTATTTTCCCAATGGTGAAACAAGATTTGCTTCAGAGCATCACCTCGGCAAATATGTGGAGTGCCTTCATGGCATTCTAGGTGGAGGCTTTTTGGTAAGTAATGAGCTAGTAGTTTCTCTCAAGTTTATTTTGGAGCTACTTGGTATTACTGTTTCTTTACCAGTTACATTAATTTATTGATCAAATACCTTGTCAGCAGGAATCTCTGGAGTTGTATCAAAAGAAATTAGCTATATTACCCCATAGGTATTATGAGTTACTATTGTTTATCTTATATGCAACATTATGTCACTTTAAAGCTGAGAAAATCATAGGGTCTAGGTTGCAGAATCCAAATGCAAAACTGGAACCAAGCCTCTCAGTGTGTCACAGTTTGCGTTAAGGGTTAAATCTTACTTTTTGTTATATTATTGAACTATTCTCCTTTTAAATGTCCCTAGATAACCAGCATTTAGTTGCAATTCCTTAATTTCTATTATCTGAGATGTTGACAGTTATTTCTCTGCCTTAGCTCTTTATTCAGAGGAATCAATTGGTAGTTATCAAAGCTTTGATTCAAGTAACAGCAAAGGATGAAGAATCGGGTATGTTCATTATAGGACATAGTTAATCTGAAGCTATTATTTTCTACCTTTTCAATGTTGTGGACCACATTGTACCATATTTAAGTTCCCTGACTCCAGGCTTCCTTTTTCATTTGCTTTTAAAGTCCTCTTAGAAATAGGTTACAGATCTCAAGGTGTCTGCAAATCGCAGGTTGAAAAAGATTGCATGATAAGGCCCTCCGTCTTGTGAGAGGTTCTTACAGCTGTGTTACAGCCCCGTTGGAACCTAGACTGGGATTTGCAAAGACTGGGCTTTACATACAGAATAATACAGGTGAAATCAACGGAACTGTTCCTGGAACACACCTGTACAACCTCTTCTGGACCTGCAGCATTGGGGCTCAGCGATAGGTTTGAGTAAGGGCTGACAAGTATGTGACTGTTCAACTGGGTAGTTTTTTAGTGTCTTGTTAAATCTGTGCAGTTTGCAGACAACGCTTTGCTCTTTCTTTATGGTTTTCTAGGGTAACCCTGGGTGTAGAGTCTTTATAAGTGCAAACTATTATTAAGTCCTGTTAGGGAGGATACTCTGTTTAATCAGCTCTGCTCCTTCTTGATTTTATGCTAGAAGCTCTGGAGTATGGATGAGTTACGTTTCTTAGAGATAGCTTCTGCTTTGTTACTTTGCATTTCTGTCACTGGAAACTGGTTGTGAAAACCTAGAAAAAGCTAGATGTCTGTAATAAGATGTTTGCCTGAATTGGGCAAAATATTCCTAGACTTTCTAGTCAGACTGGTTTGTCACACAGGCAGTAATGACTCCTCTTCAGTAACTAGTGTGTTGGTAGTAGTTGGTTTTTTTAAACAAATAATTATGAGAGATTTATCTTCTCCTGATTTGGGAGAAAGTTAATGCTTTCTCCCCCCCCTCCCCCCAAGCATTTTATTTGCAGGATACAGCCTTTAATGTGAACAAAAACTTTTAAATTCAAAGTACTTTAAATTGCAGCAATACCACAGCAGGCCCTTTATTGATCGGCTCTTTATGCACTTAAGTGCTGTGTATACACAAAGTGGAAATAGAAATATACCCATCCTGGTGTTGGTGCTACTGATATCAGTAGTGAGATGCCTGCTGTGTTAAACAGAAGTAAAACTGAATAATCTATACAGGCTGCCCCCCACTCCTCTGCCAAGAAGCAATATAAAGGAATGCAATGTGAGGACTGTATTTTATCAGCCCTGTCTGCACAAGAAAATAGAACAGTGGTTTTTTTGTTCCATACCTAGGTGCTCATTCCAGCTGCAGTATTCATTGGACTTCACAATGATGACTGTTGTGGGTGCTTTGGCCATGAGGCCTGTGGGAAAAGCTGTGCGGTAAGTGAGCCTTTACACTCCAGTCCCAGATAATCCCAAAGACAAGGCGATGGCTATGTTGAAAGTTCATGTCTGTGTTTGCTGTGCAGATGCTGTCCTCAGTTCTGGCAGCCTTTGTTGGGATCCTTGGTTCTGGATACTGTATAATCATTTCAGCATTGGGCTTGTCTCAAGGACCATATTGTTTTACTCACCTAGAGAGAAACTGGATCTATCCTTTCAGTGAATCCTCTGGAGGGTAAGTTGTCTGTTCATGAGGGTGTTATATCTTCCCCCATGTACACATGGGCTTTATTCCAGTACGTTTCAGCAATATCCAGTAACCATATACCAAGATCCATTCTTAAGTTTATGCTTCTCACTCACTAAGAACTAAACAGAAGTCATCAGTTACCCACCCTGGTATAGTTTAAAACCAAAGCAATATAAATCCTCTGCCCTACAAAAAGGGATCTGAACATATATGTGTATATATATATATAGGTAAAAATATCCATATACCATATACTGTTCATGTCCATGAACATGTCTAACAAAGTTTTAGGCCTCTGAGGGATTTACAAACCATGAATAGCAGTTGTTATGAAATTTGTCTTATCATTTGTGTAAGAACCTCTTTTGTGATGCTTGCTTCTGAAGTTGCTTTGTGTCAGTGTAAACTGGCATAATACCTTCATTAGTGACAATGGCATAGAACCTTTGTAAATGAAACTAGAAAAGGTTTGTAAGAATCTTTGTATGCTGCAGGGTGGGGAGGGCCAGAAGCTCTTAATTATCCCTAATTAGGGTTCTCCAGCAAACCAAGCCTATGTAGCTGAGTTGTATGCTATTCCCCATTAATCCCCACAAATCCTGTAGTTTGGAAGGGGATTTGGTTTGGGTCATGACATGCTTTTACAGTGTCTGTATGGTCGGCAACCTCGAGTCTGTTTCTAGTAACAGTTTATGGCTGATGCCAGACTAGAGACAGTTTGAGTACTAAGAAGCCACATAAAGCTCCTTTGCAGCAGAGTTTGAATTTTATATTTCAGTTGCACCTCTCCCAAGAGGGGGCATTCCTCCTCCCCCATTCCCTCAACTATGACTGAATATAGAATTAAGTCCTCGCTGAAGGCTCATCAGTGCTGATGTTCTGAAGACGTGGGTGAGGATTAATAGCTGGAATACTGCAGTACCCCTCTGAATTTATTCCATGTTTGCCTCTTCCAGGGTAGGCATGTGAGGGCCCTAAGACAGCAGTGCAAGAGAGAAAGTGACCCACTTGCTTCAGATCAGTAATTGCTGTCTTTAGAATAAAGGCCCAGACCTGAAAAGCTCTGTGGTTGTTTTGAGAAATAGCTTTGGTCTTTCAGCTTTCTTGCATTTCTGTCTCACTTTAGTCAGTAATAGCTGCCTTTATAGCTTAGATTTTTTTTTTTTAAAGAAATTAAGGCTTAACAAAAATGTATGGCTGATAGTTCAACACGTTCTTAAACAGAGCAAACTTTGCATGGAATAAACCATTGCATTTTCTATTCCCACTTAGGGTGATTATCTTTGCAGCTACAGACTAGATGCAATTTAGTTCTAGTGTGTGGAAGCATCCCACTCTGTCACAATGTTAGTATGTTTTTAATTGCTGTGTACAGGTACTTGTTTGAGTATAACAAGTGGTCTAAATGTCAAGAACCTCAAAACATCGTGCAGTGGAATGTCACCCTCTTTTCCATCCTCCTTGTCTTGGGAGGAATAGAGTTCATTCTGTGCTTCATACAGATAATCAATGGCATTCTTGGAGGACTATGTGGGTTGTGCTGCAGTCATGAGGAGGTAAGCCATTTGTAGTTCTAACCGTGCTTCTCAGATGAACATGAAACACTATTGTTACTGATGCTACTGTGGGGTCTTGCTCAGAAACTATTTTTTAAGTATTCTTCTACACTGAATTGTTGCTTAACTTTTTTTATAGCACTGTTGTGTTTAGCTTTTTCATGTAGTATTTGACCACATGCTTTCAGCTGATTCCTCAGCTGTCACAGTGAAGTCAGTCTGCATAGGAGCTGGAAGGCTTTTCTTCCTCCATGTGGCACATGTGGTCATCAGCACTATATAGGTGATATAACTGAAACACAGATAGCCTGGTGGTGGTGGTCTTTGCCAGAGCCTAAACCATTGTTGCATAGTGTGGTGCAGTTTTGTGGTAGGCTGCTTGTTCTAACTATGTGGCTTTAGCCTTGTATTTTGCTCACAGCAGCTGATAGACTACTGAGAATATGCCGTATGTAATGAAAACTACAGCATCCTAGCCTTGCTTAGTGAAAGTAAGATAAGAGAAGAAATTAAATTGCACATAGGTAACAAAACCTGCTGACAGATATGAAGGGTTTTCTGAAGGTGGTTTTTTTTTTGAGTGAGGAAGGGGAATTTCCTCCAAATTTCTCCAAAGTCTTGTTAAACAGTTTATGCATGTTGTTAAAATCAGTATCATAGTGGTAGTGTTGGTATTGCAATGGCTTAAGATATGAACCAGATATAATTTATATCACACACATTGTGGCTAAGAATGTGTTTCATATTTTTAATTGACATAGTTTAATGTTGGGGCTCTTTCAAAGCTATTACTGTCTTCTCACTCCTGTCTTCCATGCTGTAACTGCAGTATAAAAGAGCTGTGCTATGGTAGTCTAAATGTGGTCAGGTTAATTTTAGCTCTTATAGTTGGATACAATATTAGCATTCTTCCCCTTAATATGTGTTTCTTTCTTTTTGTTTCCCCCACAGACATACGTTTGCTAGAAACCTGGCAATGCATTGACATTGGTGCGTGTGTGGTGCGTTGAGTATTCTGTGGTTCTTTGGTTTTGTTTTTTAATATTCTATGCATACTAAAATGCACATTGTTTGTTGTCAAAGTGTGCTGTTGCCATCAATTTAATTGACTTGGGGCCAGCCTTTGTTCTTGGAGTCATATGCAGATTTTCCACTAACCTGCCTGTATCTAAAAGGAAAATGTATCCTGAATTTCTTTGGTTCATTTCATCTTAGTACGGTCAACTGCCTGAGCACATGTCACTAAAGATGCTTTTTTTTTTTCTTTTCTGCTGACACAACAGCACTGTACTTTTTGCTGCTTTCCCAATAAAGTTGCACTTTCATTCTGATGTTGGAATGAACACAAACTCAATCTAGTTTGGCCTGGGTATAAATGAATACTCAGCTGGAGCAAAAACAAAGCAGCAGTAAAATGTGGATGATCAAGGACAGATACATGAACTTCACCTTTTCAGGATTTTTCTGAACTTCTCCTGTATTTCACAAATAAAGATTTGTATTATAAATACCCGGCAGGTGTCAGTGATTCTTTCCCTGCCCATGCTGAAACACTGCTTTCCTGGTCTCAGAGTAAAGGACAGTGGTGGCATAAGAACATGAATATAAAGCAGTCAGGTAGGTTATAACCTACTTTTGCTCTCCAGCAGACTCTGTCAGGGTGGGAACCGCTTCACTGTTTGGTGTAGATCATTTAGCTGAGCCAGGCAATTGTGCATCAACAAGGGTATGATAGTTCAATGACAGCTCTGTGACAGGTACAACTGCGTACATGGAGTCTTAGTCCTGGGTCTGGGCTAGCAGTTCACTGCTGATGGCCATTCCAAGGACCGGAGGGAGGTTCCTGTGCCATTGAGCCACAGCTCTGGGTCAATTCTGCTGCTCTCCCAAGGGGGTCTTTCCTCCTGACTGCTTATTCAAGAGTCTTGAGACAAAACCAAAATGCGGGTCTGGGTCCTGGTTTTTACCTCACTCAGCAGATCCCCAGGCATAGCAGTGTTCAGAAAATACAGTGCAAATTCAGGTCAGCAGTTATAGATTAATCTGAAATATTTGACTTCAGCAGTAAGCAGCCTGGAGGCAGTATTCTAAGATCCTGTGCAAGAACCTCCGAAGCATAGCTTGGAGCATATTACAGTGAATGTTTTGTCACAAGGTAAAGTAAATCTGAATGATATGCTGCCAACAGCCTTGCTAGCAAGGTCAGTATGCTACTGGCAATGGCATCTTTCAAGTGAAAAACAAAATATGATATGCCATTTATTTCAAAGAAATGAGGCTGATTACCATTATTGCTCAGTTTTGGAATCCAGCAGTTAAAGTTGTCTTTGAAAACAGGCAAGTTAGTTTCTGTTTATGGAGAAAAAGAATTTCCCATGGGTGTCAGTGTATACTTAGTACTATTTGTAACTAGGAGTGTGGTTGGTCTTCAGAGGTAGCCAGAAACTTGAGGTGTATCTCAGGCTCTCCTCACAGGCAAGTCTGCCCAGTATGAAAACATATCTGAAAGAAATTAACTGTGAAAACAAAGTTGCACACACACATCCACAGCAGTAAAAGAACCCACAGATGGGAAGAGTTTGTGTTTAGAATCTCAGGCTCTCCGCTTCTTGCAATAGCATTTATTCATACATAAATAAATAGTAGTAATTGAGGGCAATCTTTAATACCACTTCTACTTGTGTTTACCTATGTCTTGCCCTGCTGTGGAAGGGAGGAGAATAAGCATGTGCACGTGTGTATACTCACACACAAAATTCCTTGCAGCTGTGCAGTATGGTGTCTTTGTATGTGAAGAAGCACAGTTTGAAAAAGGATCTGCAATTTTAAATTAAGTGTGGAACAAGAGAAGGAAAAGATAGTCTCGGTGAAATAGGGTAAAATTCCCATGCAACTTACAGATTTTTGCCTTTATGCTTGCATAATTGCTACTTGTCTTTCTGGTACACATAACTAATTAAAGAATTGAAACAATTTTAGAAATTCCAATGGACACAATGATTAGGCTAGAGTTTAGAATGAAAACTTTAGCTCAGATCCATGTAGCACTAACGCACAGCATTACTACTCAGTGTTTGTGTCATCATTTAAAAAAAAGGCCAGTTGAATTTCTTTGTTGCCTGATGCATAAGACAACGTTTTGGGAGTTTTATCAGTTACATCGTGGAGAAGCAGTTGGTTTAGGTTACATTCATTTCAGTTAGCAGAGATGTCACTCATCCAGAGTAAACATGGCTTTTCGGTAATGGGCTCAGCATCAGCTTATGGATATTGACAACAACAGGAAAGCAGTTCTTGCAACACTTGGTAAAATATTTGAGAAACTGGTTGCCAGGTTTGCTTAATACTTAGTATAAAATTGTTATTTCCTGTTCTAGCAGTACAGTGTGCCAGCAAAAAAAATACACCTTGATTTGGTATTTGCAGAGCTCAGTTTAAATACAAAATAAGTCATGATGCAGACTGTTGTACTGCAGAATGAATGCTGTTTCAGTTGTCATTTTCCAGGTAAGTTTCTTCTAATCAGAACAGATCACTATGGGAAGTAGCAGCAAATTTGATTATAAACTAAGCTGCTAGCTAGGAATTTTGGCCTTTGCTTTTAGAAAAAAAGATTTCAGCTTATTACATGATCTCTGAGTTTTGTAATAAAAAAATCAGTCCTGAGGATGTGATGTGCCTGCTTTTAACTCAGCTGTTTTCTCTGATCTGTAAGGCACAGTGTTGATGATAGAAGTTCTGTCCATGCCTGTGAGCCTGCAAAGGGAGGTTTGCCACTAATTTCAATTAGAGGGAGGCTTGAAACAAGTGTACATATTGATTAGGGAGTAAACCAGGAAATATGGGAAGATCCTCAGAGTAAAGTCTGAGGACTTCAAAATGAAACCTCCTAGAAAAAGGCGGGGAGAAGGAAACGGGAGAGTCACTGCAGAGAACGGGTAGAGAAATGGTGTAATTGCATGAGTACCACCATGCCCATTTCCTTGGGTGATCTCATTCAAAGGAATAGGAGGCAATTAGTTGCAACATGCAACCCAAACAGCTTTTATGAGATCATGAGAGAAGCCTCATGTGTGCAGAGCCTAAAACAGGTCATGAGGAAACAGAAGGAAAATATGCCATGACATCATTGCTTCTAAAATCAGTCTTCTTGCTTTTGATGGAGCCCCAATTTTTTTGTTCTCTGACTACAACTTTACTGTGGAGTAAACCCTAAGCTCATTCTTACTTTTTTGATGACTCACAGGGGCATAGAAAGAAGGCTTGTGTCGTGCTGTGAGCATTCAAACAGCTCGGGCTCTGGGTTACTGAGATGGATGTTTAGTTGCTTAGGGAATGATGACACATGAAAATAGGGAAACAGTCTGGCTTTGGCTTTGCACAGTGCAAAACGGCAGGCATTTCAAAAAACAGCCAGACCTTTTGTCCTGTACAAGAAGTCACGTGGACTTAGGTCAGATCTGTAGCTATGCATACTCAGCTGTAAGCACAGAATAAAACAACTGGAGAAATAGCAGGATTTAATTTGTCAAACAGCTGAGCGTAATGCTGCAGAAAAGAGTAATTAAGTAAAGTGTGACAATAAGTCTGCCTGGCAGTTTCTAACCAGTGTTATTTGGGCTTCTGTACTCCCTGTAAGGTGGTCAAGACTCAGCTTGGTGTTTTTGTGAGGCTGCCCCAAGTTAGCAGCAAGTGTTGTTTCGCCCTTAGGGCAGTATCTGCCAAGCTCTGGTATTAATTCTCTGTAGTGTGAGGAAATGTGTGGCCTTCTGTACAGACACTGGATATATTTATCATTTGACAGCCCCCTTCCCCATGTAAGGTAGAAAAAATTGTGCTACACTGAGGCTGAGCAACCTGCCTCATGTTACAGAGTATCTGCATCATAATCTGTGTTCTCAGGAGGAGTGTATTTCTAAGCAGTCACTAGGAAATGAGATTTTTGAAGTTCCTTCCTGAGTCCGAGTCTCTAGACATATTTCATTTGGAAGATCATAAAGGAGGATCTTTTAGAAGGGAAACTGCTACTTAAAGACATTGTGCTTAGAAAGGACAGTGAGTTTAGACAGCAATATTAATCTATTGTTCTGCTAACCATTAAGCACATTTCTATCTCTGGAATCGTACCCCAGTCACCAGGTTTCTGTGAATATGAATTGACTGAATCAAGCTGAGGAGGTCAAAACACTTTTCATATTTAAAACCTTGTAATTTTTTGTTAGCTTAGAAGAGCAAAACTTCTATAGTTCTTGAGAGATGGCTTTAGAGACATGTGGAAGCTGTTTGAGCTGTCTGCTGATACCTCTTGCACTTTGGAGTATTGTTGTTAACATCCTATTATACTTCCCTAATGGGAAAGCTTCACATGCTGCCAGCTACCAGCTTCCAAACTACGTGTGGTATTTTGAAGGGATCTGTTTCTCAGGTGTGATGGTAAGTGTTGATTCTATGGATTTTTAATGAATTGCATTCTACTGCAAATAACATTGGGTTACTGTGCAGCAATGTAATTGTATTTTTAAAGAGAATATGGATTACTTTGGCAAAAATACTGCAGGCAGAAAAACTTGATCAAACTGAAAAAAAAGTAAATATACTGAATTACATGCTATGTATATACTATTTAATTTCACGTAAGTGATTTTGCAGAGTTGATTATTTTTTTTCTGCTGGCTTTTTGTTTATGTGTAATTTACATTTGTATTATGAAGGCAGGCTCCACGTTGATTTAATCCTCTTTGAAGGTTGAATTAGAGCTCTTTTACCAAAAAAAAAAAAACCCAAAACTAAAAAAGCTTCTCATAACTGTTCAGATGTTTTTAAAAGCTGTATGCAGTCCAGTATTTCGAGGACTGGATACACTTCACAATGCAGCAAGTGCCACTGTTGTTAGACTAAATACAGAAGACTATCTCACTGTGATTGGCATAGTAGGACTTTCTCCATTACACTTGTAATAAGCTCATCTACAGTAATAAACTAACGTGGAGTTGCCCACTGCTCATACTGTTTGCTATGTTCATGAAGAACTGTAGCCTCAGGGACAGAAAGCAGTTGTATAATGAAATGTATGCACACAATCAGTACTTAAAAAGGTCTCATCTGCACAGGTAAGGTGTTTTTATGAAGGTGCTGAACTGGGAGACTTATTAAAACGTGAAGCATTATTTTGAAATTGTGTATTCTTCCTAAAGCAGAAGAAAAACCTTCTCTTTTCTAGCAGAGGAAAAAGCTATCAGGCAGTGAATTTGAACAGAAAAGGTTAGTTGAAAATTTTGGAAAAAGTTAACTGCAACAGTGACACTCATATTTTGAAGCATTTTTTGCCTTAGGATTATTACCAATTTATTAAAAATGTATATATTATTCTGTTACAAGTAGGGCAGCAGCATGTGAGAGGGTAGTGCTGTCATTCAGAAACATTCCCTTTTCATATTTCCCCTTTCAAACCAGTGCCCCTCTGAGCAGCAGTTTGTGATTCTGGAGTCCAAAACTTATTTATTGAAATGATTCTAGTACCAGGTTTAAATAATCCAAGAGTCTGAGAAAAACTGTATGGATACTTGACAGAGAAAACAAATGAAAGTCCAGGTGAATTTAACAAAAAGCTTGTACTACTGACTTTTTCTAGCATAAGTGTGTTGGTTAGGAAGGTGATACCCTGATCTGTGTGCCTGTGCCAGCAAGAAGCCATTGAACTGATACGGCTGTGTCAATAAAATATCCTTCCCTTCATTGATACTGGTTCTTTTACTTGTGAGCTTGGTATTCTTTCAGCTTCACTGGTATAGCTGTGTCCATGCTATAATGCTTTGCTGTGGTGGGACACATTGTACTCATCTTTCAAGTATAAGAAACAAGTACAATGACAGCCTAATAAAAACAGTCCAATTCCACGGTGCGCCTTGAATAATTGCGCTTTCCTACTGAGCAGCTTTAAAATCTCAACAGACCGTAACAGATGCAGTCCCTACCTTCCATGGGCAAAGGAGACTGTGGCTTAGTATCTGCAGTCATTTCAATGACTTTATGATCTTCCCTTATAGATCCTTCTGTTGGCAGTGATTCTAATAACACTGGAGTGTAGCATGTTCTATCGGTGCTGTCAGAGTGAAAGCTGTAACAAAACCTACCGGGTGAGTCTGTGTTTTATTTTTGTGCATCTTTAGCATTTGTTTGGATTGCCTTCCTGCTCTTGTGTTTCCAGCACATCCTTTTGCCCTCTCCACTGCTCTGTTTCTGCTTCCTTTCACAGAGAAGGATTCTAAGTCGGGTTGAGAGGTCACAGAAAGTGTAGCTCCTTCCTTCTGATGCATAAGCAGGATGAAAGAAAATTAAACAGGAAAAAAAAAAAAACCAAACCAAAAAAAAGCCACAAAAAAATCCTTGTAAAATAAAATAAGAACGTAGAAGGCCTGAGAGTTTCAGTGAAGTGCCCCAACTAAATAGCTTCATCCCTTTGCTTGTATTATTTGGAAGTTATTTTTTCCAGTAACGACTCAATATACACTATCTGGGATGCAAACATGTTTAATGCATGGTTGTGTTCCTCTAGCATTTTGGGAAACAATTTTGAAAAAATGCAAGTTTAAAAAAAAATAATCCCCAAACAATATTTAACTGAGAGTTGTGAAACTGTCTTAAACTCTGTCTTAATCTTTATTTTGTATGTGTATGCTTACTATCCTTTACCTGGTATTTTTCTTTCTGAATTTTGAAGATTGGGACAATCAAATGTGAAATTCAGTCTCAAGGAAGTAGCTAGGCAGGCTGAATGAGTGTATTTGGTGTGGACACTGTCCTCACACAGTAATATTTTCTTTCTTTACTTCAGAGTTTTATTTCAATTGTGTTAGCCCTGCTTGGAGTTGCTTTCTCTGGATACAGTTGCATCATTTTTACCTTGGGGCTGATCCAAGGCCCCTTCTGCAATTCATCAGGTGGATGGGATTATATCTTCAAAGACACTGCTGGAGGGTAAGAAACATCAGTGTAATTCTTCTGGAAGAACCTGTTCATCAAAACAATAGTCAGACAAATTCTCTCAGAGTTTTACACAAAATGGCACAGTCTCTTGAACACAAGACCTATATTGGCGAGTGAGGTTTTTCAGCTTCTTGAATGAGCACCAGAATCCTCAAAGACAGGTATTTGCCACTTTGTAAGGAAAGAGTAAACGTAAGAATGTTTGTACTGACCAGACCTGGAGGTCCATCTAGCTAAGTGTCCTTTCTTTATCTGGTGGTGGTCACAATCACATGTAGTAGAGAATATAAGGTTAGAGTGAGCGTAGATGGATACTTTCTCAGAATATTCTCTCAAATTCCTCAAGTTTTTGGTTCAAAGATTATAGATGGCTTTTTTCTATTTAATAACTCAGTAGGTTTCTCTTTAACACCTAAAGCTCAATGAAGTCTGGTTTGATCACTGGTAGTTTTTGCATACCGCTGCTGTATCTCATAACACACCTAAGTGAGGTAGACAAAGTGTTGTCCATGTCCCAGCCTCCTAGAGACAGGAAAGGTTTGATTCAGATCTGTAACCTGAGGCTGCTTTTGCAAGATTTTACATTCTCCCTTTAAAAGATCAAAGTTTTATAAGACTTGAATATTGCAAGTCATATAATGCCACACTCTTCCAGCTGCATTTGAATGCACTGAGGATTAAATTTGTTGGAGGATCAAAAACAACTTCCTTCAGCATCCAACAGGAATAGTTCCTAAATATGGCCTTCTCTGACTTAAGTCAGCTTTATTTTAAAACACTGAAGTGCATCCTGCAATCTCTGCTACGTATCACGAGCATTACTATCCCATTTGGAAATGCAAACATGAGAGTTCAACGTAAAGGGCCAGATGCTGAATAATGCACTCCAGATTTGGCTCAAAGCATTTCAGTTATGAATGTTTAGGAAAAAAGCAACTGACACTGAGCAAGTGAGTCTAACAAAGGTTCTTGCAATTAACCTCCAGGCTATAGCATGTCTCACAGTTAAAAGGGCACATGTCAGTTGTGCACACTATGATCCTTAAGGAGGGAAAGTGTGGCTCTTGAACGATTGGAAACTGCATGTGGTGACACTTAACCTCAGCTCTGCCATTTAGGCTGCATGCAGTGGTTAGAATGATGGTGATGGGGTGTTCCTGCTCTCTGCACGGTACTGATGTCAGCTGGACTTAACCAAAAGCTGAAATTAAATCAATAAAAGGAAAATTCCCATTTTAAACTTGGCTTCTGCCACTTGAAAAAAAAGGTCATGTCTTTCTAACACTTAGGTGTCTAACAGGGAAACTGATGAAGCAGAGGTATTTGAGGAGCCTAAGCTTTTTCACTCAGCTGAGTTTGAGAAACCTATGCAGAAGTTATGCTGGTGTAATGAAAGACTAGAATCTGGTTCCTAAATTTGAAGCATATAAAGGCCAGTATGGTTTTTCTATATATATTATAGGTAAAATAATGTGTATTTAAATTGAGTTGCACACACCATATTTAATTTACTTCAAATGGCTGTTTCTTTAATAGGTACCTCACAGATTACCCTGCTTGGTCTCAGTGCACGGAACCTGTTAACATAGTAGAGTGGAACATTATTTTACTCTCTATTCTGATAGCTCTTAGTGGACTGCAGCTGATCATCTGTTTTCTCAAAGTGGCTGCTGAGTTGAAACGGACACTCTGTGGGACCTATTCTGTTTTTGTCCAGGTAACAAAATATCTGAGATAATTTCACCAGCATCTCCAAGTCAGTTTAGCTTCAGCGATTTGTCTCAGTTGAGGACGTACCCTTTTGGTTTATGCATTCTCTATGCTACTGCATTTTTATTACCAGAGGATATGTACTGATAATAAATCTATTGTGTTTGATTCATCCACTGATTGCTTGTGAAATATAGGGATTGGTGACTGCTTACTCTGACCTTTCAGGCTAGGATTGAAAAGAAAAAAATGTGGCTGGGAATTCGGCACCAATGCTGAATCCATTACTCCTGTGTCAGCAGAGGTTTCTGAGCACCTTTCTTCTAGCATTCAATTTAAAGTCATTCTTATCAATGTGTGGGTTTCACAGCAAACAGAAGAAGATGCAACAGGTAATATGTAGCAGTTGTGATCTAGGCATCAGTTTTTACTATGTTTTCAGTAGGTTATTGAAACAATAACTGAGAGGGCTCTGCTTTGGGCAGAAGAATTAGTCGGAAACCCAGAGCTCAAGTGACTGATGCTGCTAAGCTGCACACTGGTGTGAAGTGGTGTGGTTTAATGTGGCATTCAGTTTCCCCAGCTCTGGAGGTAGGGTGAAATTAGACATGCTTACCCCTCCCTGTCCATCTGCACTGGGATCAAGGAGCCCTCAGGGTTTTTATGTAGCCAACAACCTCAGTGATGACAGCATGTTCAGGAAAGATTTCTAATTAGGAAGAGCAGCAGCCCCCAAAAGCAGGCATGCACACTCCCAGACATAGGGTTAGTTCTGTCGTGTAAGTGGGAGACAAGGGCAGAGCAAGTGGGATGACAGTGCCGCTGCAGCGTGAGGGCTCCTGCCCAGTGCTGGTGGGCCAGCGCAGGGGAACTGCAGGTGCCACGGAGGGCCTTGGGCAAGCAGGCAAGGAAGTGCTTCTTGGAGGAATTTACTGTAACAGCAACCTAAAAAAAGGTCAAGGCCTGAGGCGATTTCTCTCAAAACATTCTGCTTGCCAGTGAGCGAGCCGCCTCAGCCTGGGAGCCAGCCCAGCTTCCAGCAAAGTCCAAAGCAATTCTGTCGGCTTGTCCCTGGGCGCAGAGTAAGGTCACCTCAGGAGCACGGGGTGTGTGTCAGGTTTAGGCTGGATGTGGACATTGAAGAGTCAAGCAACTTCTATATTAACTTGAGTTGAAAAAAAGAGGGTAACTATTTCCTTCCTTTTTATTTGCAGGCTGGGATTCTCTAAAAATGGCCTGGAAATCTTCACTGCTTTTCCCCCACCCCCCAGAAGAAGAGAGAAATGGCTACTCCAACATTTATGATGGTAGATTTGGGTGCTGCAAAGACAAACGAAACGCTTGTCTTAAATCTTTGTCTCTCAAGCCTCTCTATTTTAGATGAAGTTATCTGAACTGTTTGACATCTACATTTTTCTAGTTGTTTTCTAACCTGTCCGGTTGTCCCTGGCAGTGACTCTTCATTTTTTTACCCTCCAGCTTGTTCTGACAATAGGGAGGTTTGAATACCATGGAACTGCTTTTGTATTGAAATCACCGTTTTTGAATGAACTGCTGTAAAACTGCTGTAGAACTGCTTTTATACTCCCCTCTCTTTGTTTAGAGCATAGAAATATTTGTTGTTCCGAAAGGGCCTGATTCAAAGCCCAGTATGTCAGGAGGGGTTGTTCCCTTGAGAATTAGTGCACTGGATGAAGCCACAATTTCTAAATGAATAGATTTTAGTTACAGACAGACCATGATGGTCACGAAAAGCAGCAGCCTATCCTGCTCATTCTGTCTTAGAAGTTTTTAACTGCACAAAGCAATTACTGAAAAAAGGCTATCAAGTCTTCCTGCAGTAAGGCTTTTAGAAAGGCATCCATGCCTGATTGAAAGATTAGATACACAACTCTGAAATCAGCCATGCTAATTAGTACATGTTAATAGCTGCACTGAGTTCCTTCTTATTTTATACTCAAGAGGCAAACTGTTTTGGTTTTTTTTGATCAAGTATTATATGACTTGAGGGAATATATGAGGCAACCTTGTGAGCATCCAATGCTAGCTTATTAATACTCTTCTGAATATCCTGACTGGAAGATTAATGTTCTTGACAATAATAATCAGACAAAAAAGAATAACCTGTTTTAAATTAGCAGCTAAAAAGTCTTTGTAATTTCTCAAGGAATTATTATTTCATTCCCAGTGGAAATTCAGGGATTCACAATAAAGTGGACATACAGCTCATTTGCAGCTGCTTGGGCAACATTTGGCTGTATACAGCACTGGTTTTGAGAGAATGAGCACCCAGAGGAAAGCTAAATATGTACTTCAGACTTGAGGTAATGCAGGTATCTCTATTACATCAGAACTAGTGGGATTCAGCTATATCAACATCTAATATTAAACACTGTTACAACTGCCAACCGTACAGTAAGTGGCAGCTGTGGGTGCAATATTTAGAAAAAAAATAGAGTATATCAGTCATTTAATTCTGTTTCAAGACAATATTGAGATTTTGCCTTAATATTCCTTTATCAGATTGTTTTGAAAAGCTGGTTTCTTCCTGTAGGATTTGAAGAATGCATCTAAAGTTTAATTGCTTAGTTTCTATTAAGTTGCAAGAAGTAATAAAGAAATTAATGATGTTTAAGAATGGGGCTAGTCTTTTGGCAGATGGTTCAAGCTGGCATGGATGTTCAGAGATGCATGAAAAAAAGGCATGATTATGAAATGGGGACTGTTTGCAACTGCATACTTGTTTTTCCCTAGGCTTAAATATAAATCATATTGTATATCTACATAAATGATAATCCCACATTCTTATGGATTTGTGGATATTGTTTGCAGACAGAAGAAAGAAAACTGACCAATCCACCTGTACTCCTACCAAACATCTTAGAGCAACTTGCTGATTTCATGCATGCAAACCATGGAGCTGTTTATTTTGAAAATGTTAGAAACATTTGAAAAAAAGGTTTTATTATCTGGATGAAAAATAGTATGTGTGGGGTAGACATTCAAAGCAGAAAACCCCTAGAACTGCTAAACATTCCTAAAGTGAATGGTGCCATTTCACTGAGGAAGGCAAACAAACAGGGTATTCTATTTAGACTCCAGCTCAGCCATGGGGAAAATACAGGCTTATCTTTAGGCAAACAGGGTCTAATGAGATAGATTTTGCTATGCTGGATGAGAGCAATGAAATACCTTAAAATTACACCTGTAAACTCTTAACCCTTTATCTTGGTCCTATATGTGTCCTTTCTACTTTTCAATAACCTCTGTCTCTGATCATGGCAAATCTTGAGCTTGGCAGACAGGAGACACAAAGAACAGTATCAATTTTGACAGCTTTTTTCCAAAGTAGTATTATTAGTGGCTGTACCTAACAACTGGCAAGGCTTGGCTGTCTTTAATTCATCCTTTTTTTTTGTGATTGCATCTTGTCAGTTTACATTTCTGCTCTACCACAGGCTGGTATCTCCTATTTTAGTGGCTTAAATCAAAGAAAGAGATGTGTAAGCCATTCTTGTTGGACATATTGATTCTGCAACCCTCTTTATCCATAATCCAGATATTGGCATCTCCATTGCCATAGCCAGACTCAACTGTCACTTGATAGCTCAGCTTCTAAATGGGCAGTTTATTAATTTGAAATTGGCAGTGAGAATACTAAAGGCTAACAGTGGGTTGCATTTACAAATTTAACAACTTGTTTCACACAGGGCTTTTGGATGTAAGGCAAGTTAAATTCGATCTAGTCAATTTATGTCCCGATTCAGTCTGAAAGATGGTGTCTCTAACAAGGTGCTATGAACTATGCCTAGTAGCAAAACCAAGATTTCTGTAAGGAATATTAACTGCCTTGAAATCTAGACATAACTCTGATGGTGCTATTTGGGGCAATGTGACCATCTGGCCCTCCAGCTGCAGAATGCAGACCTCACCCTGACACCAGCAGAGAGAAGTGGGCCACAGAGCCAGGACAAAGCTCACACCATGCTGGCATATGAGAAACCCTTTCTTGAAGAAATGTTCCTGAACCTGAGGCACATGTGCTGCCTGGTGAAACCCACACATAAAATACCCCAGACACACCTGGAAGAAAGATGCAGATTTGTGTTCATAAACTTCTGTAAGTGAGGAGTTAATGCTGAAAGCTAGAATTAAGAGTTCCAGCATTATTTGTTCCTCACAGGCAATGCATTTTGTCGGAGTAATATGATGCTGTGTCTGGAACAGGATTGTCATTCATTTAAAACGCTTCGACTGGAAATAGCTGTAGAGACTCAGTTTTGACGACTAATAATTGTGGGCAGAGATTTATAGTAAAATACTGTGGAGCCCATCCACCTTTGCATTTTGGGGCATATTATTCCTCGTGTAGGTAAAAGCGAGTCTCACTGAAGTGCAATTTCCTGATTGCTAATTCTTCACATGTTGGATGGAGGTTTTTTCCACATTGAAAAAGAATAAGGTGGCAGAGGACAAATGAAGCTCCTCAGAACTTTAAAGGGTGTTTACCTGCAGAGGTTTGCAGCAGGTCAGAAGAGCAGCATGGGCAGCAGACTATAAACACATCATTCAGATTAGGGACTTATGAAATTGTGGGGTTTCAATTCAATTTCACTGGGACCTCTTGTTGAGACTTTTGGGTTGTTTTTTTTCTCAAGGAAAATTTTTGAAGTAAAAGATCAGCTTTGTATTTTCAATGCAGTTTTGAGGGCTTTCAGAACAGTCATAGCATTTCAGCATCCTCAGTATGAGAAATGAGGTCTTGTGGTTTAAAACTATAAGGGGATATTCATGACATCAAACTGCGGACTCATCATTTAACCAATTAAATTAGGTGCTCAGTCTTTTTAAGCCCTGTGAGAGTCTATGAGAGGAGAGAGGTTCGCACTCTTTAAATACCCTCTGAAGATAATAATACAGGCTTGGGAAGCTCAGTCACCTCTGTCAGTTTTTTTTAGTCCCTTAAGAGAAAGATAATAGGAATGTGCTCAAGCAAACAAATATCTTAAAGTTTGGGTGAGGTGCAATTAAAAGTGATAATGGAAATATCTTGCCTGTCAAAAGTTTTTTTTTATCTTTAAGTAAAAACAACATGCAGTACTTTTGCAAATCAAGAAAGAGTAATTTAGAGGAGTCAAGGGACTAAGGCAAAGAAATGCTCATGTTTTTACTCCCAAATAAATGTGGAGATTTCAAGGATATTGCATGTGTGGTTTTTTGTCTTCCTCAGTCTGATGGAAGTTTGAACAAAAATAAGCCAAATAGCCCACATATACACGAACAACTCTGTTAGCTGAGTATTAAGGAATGACTTTGAATTTAAGTAGTGTAAGAGAAGATAAATGGTTTCTCATTTTTACCTCAGTTAATTTACAGATGGGACATACGCAACCTGTACAAGCTGATCTTTCCACTGAACCACCAACCTTCATCGATGATAAAGAAAAAAAATCCCTACAGAAATCATTTTGACCATGTGACACCAACCTGGGAAATTCCAGAATTTCATCATAGATTAAGTCAGATTTCGAAAACTTGGCTTTGGCCACAGTCATTTAGACAGAAGCAGAATCCTCCATTTAATGCAGATGTGTAGAAGCTTCCAAAATATTCTGATAGTGCCTGAAATTTTTTTGTATGAATAGTGATTAAAATTGGTAATTTATACCACAGTCCTGGTAAATAAAGGTTTAGATTTGTATGTCATTAAAGGAAACCTGGTGTACTTTAGTTATGTTTTGAATCTTAGTCTTCTATGCGAAACAATCATAATTTTTCTGACCAGTAAGAAAATAGCTTCAAAGAAGATTGTGGTTATTACAGATATTTTTAAGTTGCCATATAATGAAAAATGTAATTTATAATGAGTGTGACTATGTCAGTGCTCAGAGTGCAGAAGAGATTTTTCAAGAATTCCCAAGTAACTGAAGATACATATTTTTTAATAGAAGTCTTTACAATTTCCAGTTTTACAGGTGGCTTTGTATATCTAAAGCTTCATACACAATCATGATGTAATGGAGGTATGCTTGAAAAGAAATGCAATTGCAAACTTTAGTTAGGTGTTCTTTAAACATCCCATGTTTAAGGTCCAATTTTGTTCTTATTTTTCAATGAGACTAACGGATACAAAATGTTTACAGAACTTGAATAAAGCAAAAGTATAGCCTTCTGCACTGGGTAGTACATTTAGATAATGGCAACAGTTAAGATTACCTGGAGCTTTATACATCTATTATGCTTTTAATCATTGAAGAATGTGGCTTATCCTGTCTGGTGATAGACTAGGAGGAAGATAACCTAAATAGTTCATTTTGTGGAATTTCTGAGACTCATTTCCTTTGGGCAATACTGAAACTGCTTAGGAATGAGATGCAAACGTCCCCTGCCTCCATCTGTGACCAGCTGGTCCTTTTCATGTCTAGCTATATATGCCACACTTTGTGCTAAAATTACATTTCCAAGGGGACTGTGGTGGGTTAGTAGAGCTTATCCATGCATACATCAGTGTGTAAGCTCTGCTCTGATACCAGTGACCTCAGTCCTCTCTTATCTGTCTG